CCCGCCCGGGCGGCCGTGCAGCGGCTCCTCTGTGCGCGCTGCCACGCAGCTCCCGCCTGCGGCACAGCCACCGTGTCCCCCCCGCGGCTCCTAACGCGCCCTCTGCCTTTGCAGGACTTGCTCAACTCCAAAAACAGCACCATCAAGGACCTGCAGCTGCAGCTGGCCCGAGTCTGCAAGGTGAGGGAAGGGGCTGGGGGGGTCCTGGGTGGTGGTTGTGGTTTTGGGGGGTGGAAAAGGGGACCCTTCATCTCTGGACCCTGCACAGAGCAGTGGGAAGGGGACTCTCAGTGGGCAATGCCTGTTTTATGCCCTGGGCCGGGCAGGAGCCAGCCTGGGCTGTGGTTTTCCCCCATTTGCCCTGTGAAGGAAGGAGTTGGGTGCATCTTGGGGTGCTCCCCATGCACAGGGGAGTGCAGGGAGCCCGTGCCGTGGGTTTCGGGCTGCCCATGGGCTGTTTCTCTTGCAGGCCCACAACGACATGCTGCAGACCTTCGAGGCAAAGCTGACGGCTTTTGGCATCCCCCTGGACAACCTGGGCTTCAAGCTGCTGGCCACACCCGTGCTGGGGCAGGTGGTGGGGCAGGGGGCCCCGCAGGGCTCGTGGCTGTGCCCACCTGAGGGGCCAGCGCTCAGGAACCTCCCTGTGCTGGGCAGGGAGCGGGGCTGTGTCCCCTTGGTGCTCCCTGCCATTAAACAGGCCCCAGCGAGCCTTCTGGGAGACTTGGAGGACCCCTCCCTTTTCCCTGGGAGGGGGGAGCCTTTCCTCCAGAGCAGCCCCCCATCCTGCCATGGGGCTGCCAGGGGCCCCCCCAAACGCCCTTGTCCTCGGGACTCCCCTTCTTTCCCCCTCCTGCAGCCGTGTGTGCGCTGCCCCCAGGAAAATGATGATTTTTCTTGAGACCAATGGTGCTGTTTGAAGCCTTTAATGGTGTTGGTGGCGTAGGTTTCTGGTGCCGAAACCCGGGAAGGGCTCGCCGGGAATCGGGGAAACCGCCTGCACAGGTGAACAGCAGCCGGAGCGGCAGGACTAGCCCTGCGGGGAGGACGCTCCTGGAACAACAAGGAG